CTATTCGAAAAGCATTCAAAAGGGTGGTTTGTAATCTTTAGCTATTAAATGAGCTAACCAACCCACCCTCTTATCGTTCGATGTTAAACAGGAAAGTTATATAAGTAAAAACATAAAGAAAAAAACAACCACCTCCAATTTTTTTCATTATTACAATTTTTTTTTTTTTTTTTTTCATTTTTATAGTGGATTTTATGATGAATGCAGGAGCGGGTGCTGTCGATACACAGGCACAATTAATGCAGACCACAAATCCAGCGGCCGCTGCTGCGGCTGCTGCTGCTGCAGCCGCTGTGGCCGCCACACCGGCTCAAACTGCTGCCGCTGCAGCGGCTGCTGCTCAATTGCAACAACAACAGCAAGTCCAGCAGGCCATATTGCAAGTGCAGCAGCAGCAGACCCAACAGGCTGTGGCCGCGGCAGCTGCCGCCGTTACACAGCAGTTGCAACAGCAGCAGCAACAGAACCAGGCCAATGGTAATGGCAATGCCAGCAATGGCAGCACCGAGACTCGTACTAATCTTATAGTCAACTATTTACCACAAACCATGACCGAGGATGAGATACGTTCGTTGTTCTCAAGTGTAGGTGAAATTGAGTCTGTAAAACTTATACGAGATAAATCCCAGGTGTATATTGATCCACTTAATCCACAAGCACCCTCTAAGGGTCAGAGTTTAGGCTACGGTTTCGTAAATTATGTGCGTCCTCAGGACGCTGAGCAAGCCGTCACTGTATTGAACGGTTTACGTTTACAAAATAAAACGATTAAGGTGTCCTTTGCTCGGCCATCATCGGATGCCATAAAGGGTGCCAATCTTTATGTATCCGGACTGCCAAAGACAATGACTCAACAAGAATTAGAGGCAATTTTTGCGCCTCATGGTTCGATTATAACTTCGAGAATTCTACAAAATGCTGGTAATGATGCACAAACGAAGGGTGTGGGTTTTATACGTTTTGATAAGCGGGAGGAAGCTACTCGAGCGATTATTGCTTTGAATGGTACTATACCGCCTAATTGTACCGACCCTATTGTAGTAAAATTTTCGAATACACCTGGCAGCACCAGTAAAATTATACAACCGCAATTGCCCGCCTTCCTTAATCCCCAATTGGTTAGGCGCATTGGTGGAGCTATGCATACGCCGGTTAATAAAGGTTTAGCCCGTTTTTCACCTATGGCCGGTGATATGTTGGATGTTATGCTACCTAACGGGTTGGGAGCAGCTGCCGCTGCCGCTACCACACTTGCGAGCGGGCCCGGCGGCGCTTATCCCATATTTATTTATAACTTGGCTCCCGAAACTGAAGAAGCTGCCTTATGGCAATTATTCGGTCCTTTCGGAGCAGTGCAATCCGTTAAAATTGTCAAGGATCCCACTACCAGTCAATGCAAAGGCTATGGTTTCGTATCGATGACAAACTACGAAGAGGCAGCGATGGCTATACGAGCTTTGAATGGCTACACTTTGGGTAACCGTGTACTGCAAGTCAGTTTCAAGACAAACAAATCAAAGTAAATGCTTTTTTTATTATTATTTTTTCAATTCTTTTTAACACCTTTTTTTTTTTTTGTTCTAAATTCTCAAATATTTAACCAAAAACGAGAAAAAACACATCTCTTACGGTCTAAACTAAAAAGGTAATAACTAAGCAAAAGAAAAAGACAAAAAAAAAAAAATAATAAGCAAAAAAGATGAGAGAAATTTGAAGGGAAACAAAAGATTTTTCTTAAAACAAATTTTGGCTAAGAGCAAGAACGAATTCGAAAGAAATTTTCAAATGAACTACAGAAGTAATTTTTTTCTCCATGTTGAGTTTTTTTGAGAATTTCTCTTCCATATCAGGAGAAAATATGCAAAATTAATGGCATGCCGCACTTAAGGAAATTGTTAATTGATTTTGAAAAACATGAAAAAAAAAATTTAGATTATTACACTTTTTACGAAAGTTTGGAAAACAAAGGTATAAAGTTTAGCATATTTTCTCCTTTCCAATTACTTTCCAAAAAAATTTGAAGCTTTTACACCTTTTTTCTATCGGAAATATAAAGCAAAGAAATCAACAAGAGATTTTAAAGTAACTTCTTTTAAAAAAAGAAGTGTTTGTCAGATTAATGTTACATTAAAAAAAAAAAAACGCAATATTTTTTCCTGTGTTTAAAAAAATATTTAGCTAATATTGCTGTAGCTAAAAAACAAACAAAAAAAAAAACAAAAAAAAAAAAATTAAAAAAAAACTAAGAGCAAAAGAAATCTTCCAACCGAAAAAATCTAACGCATAATTTTTTTTACCAATAAAGCAAAAAAAAAAAAAAATTTTAAAATTAAAAAAACCTAAAATAATAAAAATGATTAAACGAATAAAAAACACAATAAAAAAAAAGAATCAAAAAAAAATAACATTATAAAAAAAAAGAATAAAAATATAAATTTAACAATTATCATTTAAAATTTTTTAAACCCCCCCCCTCCCCCAAATTTTTTTTTTTTTTTTTTTGAAATGCGTAAACGTAACATGGCTTGTCAATCCTGTTAGCCCTTTTAATCCATAATTCATGTAACCCATAAACAATCTATTTTATTATTATTTTAAAATAATATATATCCAAAATATAACGTACAATATAAGCGCACACCTAACTTAGCAAATCTCTGAGACGAGCTTACATACAAATAATAACAAAATCTAAGTAAAGGAGTGTTGAGCAACTAACATAAGGAAAGGGATTGATTTCCAAATCGCAGCTGTTTGCTACCTATTGATAAGTCGCGTCTTCAGGAACACATTTACTCAATATTTTTGTATTTCAGTCTCAACCGCAATTTAAGTTTGAGTAATTTCAAGCAATGAATGAATAGCCAGAAAGACAGACTGACATAGATAAAATATCGCAGAGTAATCAAAAGTGTTTAAAAGTAAGAATAAAATGGGGGAGATAGTCATTTTTGATTTTTTTTTTTTTTTTTTTGTTTTCTGTGATTTTGAAATGTCGCCCCCTATGGTGGGTAAAACTACGCTGGCTCTAGCATGAATTTTATATAAATAGCTAAAATATTTATCAGTTAAAGCAATTAGGAAAAAAAAGCAATAATAATAATAAAATCATTTTTTGTTGAGTCTCACAAGCAAATGAATATGTTGTCTGTCTCCTCCGCTCTTACCAATTTTTTTTTTTGCTTAACATCTAACTTGATCTCTTGGTCGAGATCTATGACGACGCCTTCTACTTTTAGTGATTGTTATAAGACAGTGAAACTTTCACCTTCTCCTTCACTGAAAGGTATTTTTAAGAAAAATGATTCATCAATCAATTTTGAATTAATACACTTAGCCTTTTGCATTCTACTCTCCTAGCCCTTTTATTTGATATCAATATCTTTAGTATTATTAAGAAAAAATTAATCCATCACGCCACCACAATGGTGGTGTCCATCATATTTATTTCGGAATTAACGCATTTTAAATGGATAAAATAAAATATCCATATTTGAGGAAATGTACAAAGTAATTTTATCCATATCCGATTTTTTTTATTTTTGCACGTAAAGAGTAGAGTTTAGTAAATGTGGTTCAGCCTTCCATTTTTTATAATTTTTTCATTTACAAAAACTGAGTTGCGTTCAGTTTACGCTTCACTGCGGCCTTGTGCTCTTATCAATTTGACCCATTTTCAATACCAATCTGCGTGCAAAAATTTTCAATATTTCTTCTACCACATTTGAAGTCAACACCTTGATTTTTGCGATTTAGGAGAGTATCAACAATGTACACCGCATCCACGGACAGACAGACATGGCTGGATCTTTTGGTTGTTGCAAACATTATGTGACAACATTATGAGTATAAACCCATCCTTCAGTGTTGGGTATAAAAAAAAAAAGGTTTTACTATCTGTCTATATATATATATATAAAATATATGAACCAAAATAATCCTGAATCTGATCTAGCTATTGTTCGCATGGCGGATTATTGGTACAGCGCTATGAGAGAGAGAGGGAGAGAGAGAGTTGCACAAATTCAAAATTCAAAATGGGATTCAAAAAGGGTTCAGATAGGTTTGCGTCTAGGTCCGAGACGGTTAAACAACTTATATAAAAATTCAACTTCATTTTTTTTTTTTGTTTCTTTTAATTTAAGTCATTTCTGAAAATCAATCGCAAACTGATTGATATATATGTGCCAAATTTCACATCGATATATGCTGTATATGTTAATATACAATATTGTCTTAAAATGCTTTTTTGCGCTTCTTCCCGTTACTCTGATACGTTCGCGGTTCCATGTTTAATTTCAAGCTTAGGGCAAAATATCAATTGTGATCTTAAAAATTTCAAAAATAATAATAATAAGTTAGAGAAGAGGAACTAAAGTTGGCGAACGCTAAAGTAACTCCATATAACACCCCTATGGAATACTGCGAGTAGGGAAATAGAATTTCGTATACTCACTGGGTATCATTTGTTAAGGACTTCGGGCGGGACGATTATGCGTTTATTAATATTGAATGTTAACGGATAAAATTAGTATTCATTTCGTGTTCGGTGAGGCCGAGGCCGAGGCCGAGGAGGCAGTGCTAAAACACACCTCTCATGGAAAAAATTTAATTTCGTATCAATCTGTCAAACGTAAAATTTTGCAATGAATTTTTCAAGCTTACCTGTCTGCCTATCCGTCTGTCTGTCTGTCTGCACATTCAATCATCCCTATACTTATATCGATTTACATTTAAATCAATTCATTTGCATTTGATAAAATCGAAGAGAAATCGATTTGAAGCATGATGCAAATATTTACCCGGATAATCCGATCGAGTAATTGACAGCGTATAGCATTAAAAATATGTTTACAATTTTCATATGTTTCATTTTTCATGGTAACGGTGGTGGGTGAGTGAATTAGGCTACTACGGGGCGAATAAATATTGAATTATTCGTTTTCTTTACATGTGACTGATGACTATATGAAGAAGATGATGAAAAGATGAAATGTTTTAAATGATAATTGTGCGTAATGTTAAATTATATAAAATAAATATCACATAAAACATTAAAAATAATATACAAATACAACAATTAATTAAGCGCAAACTCACTTCAAGTAAATTTAAAAAAGAAAGAAAGTTTACAAAATAATTATCAATATATTATCTTAAATATTAAAATTAGTAAATATCAATAAATTAAAATCGAAACCTTCTTCAAATTCCTTATTATAAACAATTATGTTTTAAAAACAAAACAAAAAAAAAAAAAAAAAAAAAAATTTAAAAAAAGCACAAACTTTTTATAAAAAATAATGTATATATATATATATATATATATATGTATATATTTTTGTTTTTTTCAAGCAAAATAAACCTGAAAATTGCTTTTAATATCATTTATTTTCTTTTTTTATTAAAAGCTGTTCATATTTAGTTTGAAATTTAATTTTTTTTTTATGAATTTTTTTTTTTTTTTTCAATACCGTTAGAACCATCGCCTAGGGATTGGGATGAATACTAATTATTTTTTGTTGTTCCGTTTATGTTACTTTGACCGTCCGTTCGTCTGTCTCCTGCATATTAATTTATTAATTACGAAATATTTGTGCAACAAAAAAAAAAAGTCATTCATAAAATAGGGAATTTAAAAACTACTTTTTGATTTTTTATTCATTACAGACGGACCTACTTATTCGGGGCGAGTCATCAATAATGAAAAAATGAATAGCTTATATTAAATAAAGACTTTATTTAAAATTAAAGATGATGGCTAGAAATGGCAGAATTCGCGTTAAAGCGAGCATATATTTCTTACTTGTACCATAAATCTTTTGTTGATTTCTTTAAGTTTTGTTTAACTAATTTTACCATCATATTTTGTCTTTCTCTCTCTTTTATGGAAAGGAAAATTTTTTACTTTCATTTATTGACTTCTTTTTTTTTTTCTTTGATTTTAAGAGATCGTAAATGAATTGTATATTGTTCACATTACACATACACATTCATATTTATATATATGTATGTATCTATATACGTATATAAATATATATGTATACATAAAAATATCAAAATACTTATATATATATATATATATATATATATTTATGTATAGATATATATATGCATATATACTCATATATATATATATAATAATATAAATACAATTTTTTATGTTTATTTTTATTCTTCTTTAGCCAAACAACAGGTTCTGCATAGATTACAATATAAAAATGGCTAGAGCTGCAGTTTGTTTTGTTTTGTTACACATACTTACAATACAAAAAAGAGAAAAAAGAAAAAAAAAAAAAATCTTAAATAATTTATTTTATTTATGCTTTCGTATAAATTATTTACCGAGAACAATTTTTTTTTTTTTTTTTTTTTTTTTTTTATTAAGAAACAGAGCAAAGCATATTCTTTTACATGCAATTATTTATTTATATATTAAACATATACATAAATATAATTAATTTAATTTTTGTTAATTTTAATAACTATAATTTTTGTGTCGTATGCAGTTTTTATCTTCATTTTGATTTAATTTATATATCGTTTTATTTTTTTTAATCCATTTAGATTTTAATTGTCTTTAAAACGTTACCTAACGTTCAATATGTTTTCAAGCATATAAAAAGTGTTAGTATAGTAGTGTTAGCGCTAATCATTTCTGTATATATATATATATATATATATATATATATATATATGTATATATATGTTTGTAGTAGCAGATAATTTAAAAAAAGATTTTTTTTTTAATATGAAGTTTTTAAGTTTTTAACAACATAAGCAACAAAAGAAAATCTAGTCAGTGAAAGAAATTAATTAATTAATTAAAAAAGGAGAAAAATATATATAAAAATCTTTACTAAATATTAAGTAAGGTCATAAACGAAAAAAAAAAAAAACAAAAAGCAAAAAAGT